AAACGGCAGCTGTTGAAGGCCCAGAAGTTCTCCAAGTAACAGCTCCGGCAATCACGATGTCACTGAAATTAGTGAGGACCAGCTGATATTTCCAGCGTCATCAATGCTTTGCATGACAACTTGTACAATGAGCTTTGCATGTATGTTTTGTTGCTTGTTATTAATTTTCAAGAAGTAACAAAACTCTGAAGTTAGCTTTTGTGGAACATTCTGTGAGAAATGTTTGTTTATCCTATATCTCCCCAGTCTTTTAACTTGTTTGTTTAAATTCAAATGGATACGATGATATGCAGATTCTGGCATGTACTACGTAGGTAAACTTTTTGCTTTGTTTCCACAGTTGTAAAACATGAAATTATTATTAAGAATTTAATTTTGCTTTAAAGAACCACATTTTACAGTAGATTAATATCTGAAATTTAAAATTAAACTTCTTTAGGCAACAAYGACAAACTTTTGTTTACGTGACTTCTGATTGTATCTGGTTTTCTTTTAGAGAGTCAACATTACAAAAAGAAATTGATGAAGAGAGAGCATCTTTACAAAAATCCATCAGTGTTACCAGTGCCTTGATCACACAGAAGGATGAAGAACTGGAAAAACTCAGAAATGAGGTACGGTCTGGAAAATGCGGGGTTCAGGCTGCTGGATGTTCTGCTTTTGTAAGCCTATRGTTTTAGGATGATTCTAAACTTGCCACCTAAAGCTATGCCAACCTTTATGTAAGTGTTGGCTTAGATTTTGCTTCTTTTTTTCTTCTTTGTAAAGAGAAGTTGCATCTCAGTAGCTTTTCTTGGTGTTTGCAGAAGTCTGTTCTTTGAATAGCAAAATACTTTTAAATCTGGGGTTAAAAGAAGGGCTGTAAGTGTCTGGCTTGGTGTGAGTGCTACCAAATTGTTGCTTAATCCTCTTTTTTATTTGAGTGTAGTTAAACCTTTGAGATAGACCTAAAGATACCTGTGTCCAGCTCAGGTTTACAGTGACTATTTGGCCCTTACTGCTAAGAACGTTCCCCGGRGGTTTTGACTTCGCTCTGGACAGGCCTAAATATTCACAAATAAATCCTGCAGATCACAGTGCTCCGTGGAGAAAATGCCTCTGCAAAAACCTTGCAGTCAGTGGTGAAGTCACTGGAGTCGGATAAGTTGAAGCTTGAGGAAAAGGTGAAGAACTTGGAGCAAAAACTCAAGGAAAACAAGAAACAGCCTTTAACTGTAACGAGCTCCGCAGGTAAGAGAGCGCGGGCGCCGTCGACCCTCCCTGCTTTCGGCTTTAGTCTTCTGGTGTTTTCACACCTTTGGTGTTACCCAAATAGTTAAACGGAAGCTTCACTAATGCAGCTTTCGCATTGTGGATCCCATGCAAGATGAGGATGAAGGGAATCTGAGTAACTGTAAAACATAAAGGCTGCAGACATCCCAGTTCACCTCGTTTGACCTATTGGCGGGGCAATTGGAACTGAAAGGAAACGTCCATAAACCCGCCCAGAAKGTTTTCCCTGCCTCCTCAGGCCAGTTTTGTTTGCTCTCCTAGTAGCAAAGTAACTTGCAGGCACCGCCACAGAATCACCTACCTGGCCACGGGAGTGGGAATCCCAGCGTTTGACACCAGTTCTGTCCTTGCACCGAGCTGGCTTTCCCTGCRCGTGAGCTCTGCACCTCTACAGTCTCATCTTTGTGACACAGAGGAGAGTTTCCTTGTGGATTTGTGCAGTACAGAAATAGATATATTTCTGTTTTTAAATAAATAAAGTGCAGTATTGAATAAGCTTCTGTAATGCAGTGGTCAAAATAAAACAATCCCAAATAGCTCACACTATTTCTGTGTCTGACTAAGGCATTGTAAGCTTCAGAATTTAGGTTACTGACTATTTATATCTTTTTTTTTTATATTTTATTTTTTTAGGTGACACTGCCACTAATCAACTTCAAGATGAAAGTGCAAAGGAGAGTCAGGTATTTGGTCTGACATATCAACGTATTAAAACAACAAGTGCCTTAGCAAGCAAAGGGAAATGCTGTTTTCTAAAAAATAAAAGAAATGTATTCCTACCACATTTTATAATCAGAATTATAACAAGYTGTCCCCTTCTGTTTCTGAGGGGAAATATCCATGTCAGAAACGTTAAGGCCTGGGTGACGAGCTGTGCTGGGGGCATGGCTGAGCTGTAGGGGCACACGGGAGCCCCTGGGGGGTGGGTTTGGAGCCCCAGCGCCGTTGGGCGCCCGTTGGAGTCCTTCCATGTGAAGGCTTCGCAGGAACGAGGGAGCATCAGGACGTGCCGGGAAGGGCTTCCCGAGGACTGCTYCGGCTCCGAGCTGCTGCGGTGGGAAGCGTTTGTCTTTGCCGGTCTTTAACCATGTGTCCTACCCAGAGCTGGCAGCAGTGGGRTGAGGAACTTGCTTTGAATGTGGAGAAATATTTAAGAAAGAGTAGGAATTTCATGMGGAACATGAAGTGCTGCTGAGCAACAGGCTGGCTGTGGCAGCCAGTGCCTAGGGAACAAGGTTATGTTACTGTAAAAGTTCTTGTTAGATCATTGGTGTCAGTTACTTGGGTGAAAACGTCCTCCTTAGTGACGTAGTGTGCACAGAGATCAGCAGCAGTGGTAACTACTAACCACCTTCTTATTTTCTTCCTTTTTTATTTTCCCCCTCTTCCCTGCATCCCCTGCATCCATCCGCTGCTGGCAAYGCTTCCTTCCAATCAGCACATGGTTTGTTCTGCTTCTCAGCTTCTTTTATTTTATTTTTCTCTTCGCCTTGCTTTCCTTGGCCGCTCTGAGCCTCGGGACAGCCTGTGCCAGACTTGTGCAGAGCTGCCCTGCTGGTCGCTGGCTGCCCTGGCTCCAACCTGCTTTGGGAGACGTGTTTGGAGAGAACGCGGGTGCTGCAGCGACTCCCTGCCCTCCAGGGGAGCTCCAGGGGACCCATCACCCCTGGCGTAGCCGCCAGGACCGCAGCTTCAAAGGCGTGCAGATGCTCTTCTGCATATTGCAGCTTGCTCCTATATATAATGCATTACATCTTTAAAAAAAAAAAAAAAAAAAAAACAGAAAAAAAAAGAAATTAAAAAAAAAAATCCATTGGTGGTGGATGGAGCCCCACAGACGCCTGTCAGGCCCATGGGCCATTGCGTGGAAATGGGCAATTCCCTGGACAGAAATTGTATAGAGGGTCTCAAAGATTCTCTGGGAAACTTTTCCCTGTCCCTGGCCCCCATTCTCTCCGTCTCCCCCCATCCTCTCTGTCATTCACTGGTCGGAGGGCAGAATTGCTGTAGAGCTGTACGTGTCTGCTGCTGTTCTCTGGAAGCGCAGTCCCAAACCTGCTCACTGTCCTTGTTCTTGGGTGTTGTAGATTGACTTCCTCAATTCGGTGATAGTAGATCTGCAGAGGAAGAACGAAGAGCTGAAGCTGAAGGTGCAAACTATGTGTGAGGCAGCCCTCAATGGCAACGAGGAAGAGCTGATTAATTATGACAGGTATCAGTCTTACAGCAATACTTGTTTTGTGCTTCAGAAGCTGTTTCTAGCAGCCAGTTCTGCCAGCTGCAGTTGTGAAGGACAAGTGTACCTTTCCTGTGAATTTAGGGTGATTGGATTCAGCCTTCTGCCAGGTTTGTTACTGCTGGGAACCTGGTGGTGAAAAGCCTCTTGGTTCTGTGCAGAACGCTGGTGTGAAAAACAGCTCGAGCAGAGTTGACTATCCTAGCTTTAGATCTCTTCTATAACAAACACTTGTTTACTTTTGGTTTTAATAATATTTAGCGTTGTGGATATATTTACAGAAAAAGGGCCACTTTGTTCACTAACTGTTGCAGCCCAGAGGGATCTGGGGTCCTGCAGGGAGGGGCCAGAAGGTTTTTCACAGGCCTATTTGTAGTTTCTTGGTGGCTGCGTTGACCACGGTGGGGTTTTCTTGCTTTCACTAATGACGTGACGAGGGGGCGTAGGGGCTTTCTCCCTTCGGGAGAAGTTTCCAGCCTGACTTGTGCTGCTCCTGGCCCTGCAGCGAGGAAGAAAGCCAGTCCAAGAAGAAACCTCGCCTCTTCTGCGATATCTGCGACTGCTTTGATCTTCACGACACCGAGGACTGTCCGACGCAGGCGCAGRTGTCCGACGACCCTCCCCACTCGATCCACCACGGCAGCAGGAAGGAGGAGCGCCCCTACTGCGACATCTGTGAAGTCTTCGGGCACTGGACGACCAACTGCAACGACGACGAGACCTTCTGACGCGGCTCGAGGCCGGGAGAACGAACTCCTTGATCGCGGCCCCCGGATGCTTTGGTGCCACCGGCGTTCGTGGGCGCGGAGGTCATGAACAGGGGCAGCCTTTCTTGGCCCCTCTYGCTCCCGTTCTCCTCACCTATTGACTCCAGAATCAAAAAATTGATAAATATTTTGCTCTTCCACTAATAAATACTTTATTCCCCTTTATTAAACTTAAGTGAAATATAAATAACTGATTTAACAAATGATTTTATGCTGTTTCTTCCCAGCTCCTGGGTTTGTACAATCTCTAACACGATGTGTCCCCCCTCCCCTTGCATCTATTGATGGGAAAACATGTATAGGAGAAGAGTGCAGTTATGTTAAAGCTTATTTAAGTACCTTAAGAGTTATGCTGTTAATTTTCATATTTGCACTAAACCATTAAGGCTGCATTTGTACATGTAGATTTTTATGCTTTTTTTTTTTTTTTTTTCCTTTTGACACTGGAAGTGTTTGGGAAATGCTCCATCTTTCCCCCTCGGCTCCGTGCCCGCTGCGTGCGCGTGGCCGGCGCGGCCCCCCGTGCAGAGGCGTGCGTGTGTGCGTGTACAGACGGATATCTATTAAAATTATATTTTGGAAAAAAAAAACCAAGGCCGAGGTGAGGCTGTGGTTGGTGCCGGGGGTGACGCGGGCCCTCCGCGCCGCGCGGGGGCGCTGTGGCCGTGGCCGTGGCGGTGGCGGTGACGCGGGCTGGGCCGGGCCGGGCCGGGAGCGGGGCGGCCATGGCTGCGCACCTGAGCTCGGGGCGGGTGAACCTGACGGCGCTGCGCGAGGCCGGGCGCAGGGAGCTGCGCGAGTTCCTCGACAAGTGCGCGGGCTCCAAGGTGAGCGGGGCCGGGGCCGGGCGCGGGGCGCCTCCCGCGCCGCCGCTGGCCCTCACGGCGCGCCGCCCCGCAGGCCATCGTGTGGGACGAGTACCTGACGGGCCCCTTCGGCCTCATCGCGCAGTACTCGCTGCTCAAGGTGAGGCCGCGCTGCCCGGGGCCCGCGCGCCGCCGCCCGCGCGCCGTGACGCGGGCCCGGCCTCCCCTAGGAGCATGAGGTGGAGAAGATGTTCACGCTCAAGCCGGGCCGCCTGCCCCAGGCCGACGTCAAGAACGTCATCTTCTTCGTGCGGCCCCGCCTGGAGCTCATGGACATCATCACGGAMAACGTGCTGAGGTAGCGGGGCGCTGGCGCCGCGGGCCGGCCGCGCGGGGCCGGCTCCCACGCCGCGCGCGCCCGTCTCGCCCGCAGGGAGGACCGGGGCCGCGCGCCGCAGCGCGACTTCCACATCCTGTTCGTGCCGCGGCGCAGCCTGCTCTGCGAGCAGTGGCTCAAGGAGCAGGGCGTGCTGGGCTCCTTCATCCACCGCGAGCAGTACAGCCTCGACCTCATTCCCTTYGACGGAGACCTGCTCTCCATGGAGTCCGAGAGCGCCTTCAAGGTAAGGGCTAACGGGAAGAGCCCGTGCGCCCGGCCGTGCTGCCCGGCGGGTGTTTCCAGCTACTCACGTGGCGGTGAAGCGCCTGGCAGAGGTGCCGTTCAGTCCTGCGTGGGACAGAGCTTCCCACCTCATTTCCTGAGTAAACATTGAGGGAAGACGCTGTGCTTTAACTGTAAAGTCTGGGGTTATTTTCACAGATTGAACATTCATAATACGTCAAATACGTGTTGCAAAGGGCTGCTGTCGCTTCACTCAGCACGCTGCAGAGCTGTCGTGTGCCGGSACTGCTGTTTGGTGCCAGGCTCTGCTGACACTTACAGCTGTCCCCGACCAGGGGTGTACCCCGTTTCCTCAGGACGTTTCACCTGGGGACAGAAGCATCGGAGAGACTCTCTTCGGCTGGAGCTTATTGGGTGAAGCCAAGGGGACGTGTCCTGGCTGGAGGTGTCGGCCCCATCGCTAGGGGAGGCACTCTCTGCACCCTGCCTCCCTCCGTCCAGCTGGCAGCACTGTGTGTGCTCACAAACCATTGTAGTTTGGCTAAATGGTTGATTCACTAACAGTCCCTACAGATAAGGTCCATATTTGCCAAGGGCCATAGGTTTTTTTTCTTTTTCCCCTAGCTTATGTCTCTTCTGCTCTGTTGCCATGGTCCATGTTCGGCTATGAAGGCATCTCTGTCGGATTGATTCCATTGGGAATCCCTCTCGTTGCTTAGGAATGTTACTTGGAGAGTGACCAGACAAGCCTGTACCATGCGGCGAAGGGGCTGATGACGCTGCAGGCTCTCTATGGAACCATCCCTCAGATCTTTGGGAAGGGGGAGTGTGCCCGGGTAAGGCAAATGCTGCTGCTTGGTGTAGTTCTTTGGACATGCCATGGGCAAGGTGCATCTCACTGACACCTGAGAGATTTTTGAATCAAAATTCTTCACCCTTCTTGTCCTACCGGGATTTCAGAAGTATGTCCAGCAGGTCTTTGCCATCTCTGCCTGAAACAGCCTTTACTGTTCCATAAATCTCGCTGTCAGCCAGATTTGCCTCTTTTCACGTATTTTTCTCCTAGTTGCACACCACCATTGTGGTGCACAGAAACTTCTGTTTCTGTGGCGTATAACAGTTACTCTGTTGGCATCAGAAGGGCTGAGATGTGCAACCTGCTGCTTGTGCCTTATCTTTTTCATTTCTCCAYATCCACTCATCCTCTTTTCTCCTCCTTGATCAACCTACAGTTGCCTGCTCCCTTTTGTCATTAGTGAGTGGCTTGAGAGGAACCCAGTGCCATGGTCGCAGTTGTTGCTGTTGTGCTAAGCCAGCAGAGGAGGCCTTGGCTTGTGTCTGCTTGTGCTGCTCCCCACCTGTCAGTCACTTTGGACCTCTTGCCATTCGCCTCCCTTACACAGGCCCACATCCCCATTCTTGCAGGAGATCCGTCTGTCTGTTGTGGCCTGCACCGCAACCAGACCAATGATGTGGTTTATTTTCAGCACGTGGCTAACATGATGATCAGGATGAAGCGCGAGTTCCCCGGAAGCCAGAACTCGATCTTTCCCGTCTTTGACACCCTCTTGTTGCTCGACCGTAACGTCGATCTGCTGACGCCTTTAGCGACRCAGCTGACGTACGAAGGGCTGATTGATGAAATCTATGGAATTCAGAACAGTGAGTCCTCTGCGGGTCCAAGGGGAGAAGTCTCCGGTGTGCAGGGGCAGCCTGGATTTCTTCCTCTCCTGGGTGAAATGTGGTTGAAATTAGTAGTGGGATTTAGCAATCCCAAGCTAGAGCTCGTCATGATGAGCTGTGCTCCTGTTTTTGCTTAGGAACAGGAGTTAAGTGTGTGTCACTGAATATTTTGGATGTCAGCTGGGTGCAGACATGGTGACACAGAGCACATAGTGTGGGAGTAGAAATTTCCCTGTATGTCTTCACCGTGCAGCGTGGATTGTTCAGGCTGAAGGAGTTTGTGAAACACCAGGGGCTCTGGTGTTTCAGGGTCCCCCCCCTTCCTTTGGGATGGTAGAACTTCAGAGGGGCACTGGTGGCTTTTCATTCCCCCCGTGTTCTGATGACTGACGTAGGACTGCTTCTTTGGAAGCAGGATGCTGAGTGCTTGGATCCCAGTACTTGTGTACCTGCTTCTGGTACGGGTGTGTCTGGGGCTGTGGGTTCCTGTGKGAGTGCAGCAGACGGTCCTTCTTCCCCACGCACAAAGTTGTTATTGTTATTAAGGCATTTATGTTGGCTTTGCTGCTCAGAACTGTCTCCAGGTCAGGGGACAAGCTTCCTGCTCTGCTTTTCTTGACTCCTCATGGTGAAAWTCCAGTTCTTACACAAGTTATTTCTCCACATTTGATAGCTTATGTGAAACTCCCTCCTGAGAAGTTTGCTCCAAAGAAGCAGGGTGATGGTGGCAAAGATCTGCCCACAGAACCCAAGAAGCTGCAGCTGAATTCTGCTGAAGAGCTGTATGCGGAAATCCGTGACAAGAACTTCAATGCTGTGGGGTCGGTGCTGAGCAAGAAAGCCAAGATCATCTCAGCAGCCTTTGAGGTGAGACCTGTGTCTGCCCATGCATCCCCTGGGCATCCTGCCACCAGGTACAGACGTGGTTTGTGTTCAGTGGGGCTGCAGTTGGCAGCTTGAGCTGCTGCCATGGAATAATCCCTCAGCCAAAGAAAACAAACACGGTCCTCAGAAGTCCCTCTCGTCTGTTCCCCTGTCCTGTCATGACATCGGCTCCACTTCAGCTGTTCCTAGTAGGTGCTGGTCACATCTCTTAGGAAAGGTAATGCAGATTCCCTGCTCACCACAGGCCTCTGTTCTGGGACTTTTGCTGTCCTCAAAATTCACCTGAACCACATTTCTGCTGTGTGAGCCCACAGTTCCCTAAATGGGAACTGCCTTCTTTGGTCTGCAGAGAAGCTACATGCTGTTTACTTCTGTAAGAGGCCAAGAGTTAATTTTAGCATACTGATCCATTTCTCTTTGTTGTTGTTGTTGCCTATAAACTCACTTATTGCTTGTTCYTCTGTGTTCCCTGAGGGTGGAGAGAGAAAGCTTTAAGAAATAGAGCTCCAGAATGCGCAGTCATATTTTGGCTGGCATGAGAAACACTGAGAATGTGAAAGCCCCAACTGTCTTGCRGGAGGCTTGTCCTCTAAACAGATGCTGTAATGTTACCTTAGGCACACTGGAGAATGCTGTGGGGCACGTTTGTGGGGTTGTTTGGAAACATCATATTGATACTTTGTGAAGAGACAGAGATGACACATCTGTGGTTTGAGAGGACGTGGTGATTCTCAAAACAACTTGTAGTGGTTGTTTTTTTGTTTTTTTGTTTTTTTTTCCTTTGCACTTTCACTTCTGCCACATTTAAGATGAGGTAGTGGTCCCTTAAATGGCGTATGCTTGCTTAGGTTTATCCCCTAGCAAATAGGTATTATTGCTATATTAACACTGAAGGCTTTACTGATGGCTTATTCATACCGGTTGTTAAGAAAATTAAGAAATTGTCAGAGGTAATAGGTGATAATGAAACAGCAGCATTTTGATAGCAGAGGACGACTTAAATTGCAGGCTTTATCATTATCACGCTCCTGCCTGCACTTGCCTATTTCAGTCTTTCACATGTAAGTCAAATTATTATTTTTATTCCAAGTTGCAGCAAGCTCCAAGTAGCCCATACTAAAGCCCATACTTCAGACCTCTGAAGTGCTCTGACACCTGAAAGCTGCTCTGTGCTTCATCAAACGGTTGCTCTAAACCCAGGACAGTGTTACAGCCAGGTACAGCGAATGGCAGGCTCCTCTTGAGAGATGCAARCCCTGCTATTCTGCAGCCACTTGGAATGCTGCGTTGAGGGGAAATGTGTCCCTTTTCTCATTGCATTTTTCTAAAGCTCCACATTTATTGGCAGGTAGCAAAGAAATTCATCTTTGCATGAAAAAGGTAAAGTTTTGCGGGTTGGGAAACTGAGGAACAGGTAGTCACAGATGAGGTTGGATAAAGGTGGAGAAAAGTGGCRACTCTGGTATAATGGAAGAAACAGTGTAATGGTGAGACCCTCTCTGCTGTTGTACTCTGTGCTGGCTCCTCTAATTTTCAAAGTGCAGTTAGAGGTAATGCTGTGATTTTAATGAGCACTTATTTTGTCTGAAAAGTCAAACACCTCTAACCATATTTGTTGTTGCCAAATTACAGTATTGTATCCTGCTGTTCACATATTTCACCTTTCTGTAGTTTAAGCAGTCAGTAAAGAACCTTTGTATGATGAAATGATCTAGCTGGTGTGTGGCTAAATATACTGAATGGGAGCTAACCTAGTGATGAATTTCTTTAGGAAAGACACCACGCTAAAACCGTTGGAGAGATTAAGCAGTTTGTCTCGCAGTTGCCACACATGCAGGCAGCAAGGAGCTCTCTGGCGAACCACACCTCAATTGCAGAACTCATCAAGGACATCACCAGTGAGTATTCACCAAGCACTGCCATGTGAGTGTCTCTAGATGCATGGCCACTTGATCAGTATCATTCAACTTTCCAAAGATTGGGGTTGTTCCCATTGGTGCAGCTCTACTGAAAACCTTACATGTAGAAAATAAGCTGTCAGTTGCTAATGTATTGATTTGCATTCTTTTCCCTTAAGCATCGGAAGATTTCTTCGATAATTTAACAGTGGAACAAGAGTTTATGTCTGGAATAGACACAGACAAGGTAAAGAGATATTGACATCTTGTGATTCTTGYCTTTATTTTTTTTCCTTTTCAAAAAAGTTATTTTGTGGGAAAGAGAGGCTTCTGCTCTGACGTGTTCTGTGACGCCGTGTGCTGTGAGGGTGCACTGAGAAGTTCAAGACTGTTCTTGAAGCAATTGATTGTGGAATCAACAGACCTCAGAAAGATGCTAGGTGGAGCCACTGCTGTATCACCATTTAAAAGATGCTCTTAAGCTATCTGGAGAGCAGCTGCACTCCCTTTCATGCAGGTTTTTCTTTTCTTTTTCTTTTTTTTTTTTTCATAGTGAAACTAGGGAAAAGTAGATCTTTCTTTCCAGGTCTGCTGGGAACTTTAACAAAGCATTGTCTAACAGTTTATGCATTTTTTTCCATAGGTTAACAATTACATTGAAGACTGCATCGCTCAGAAACATCCCTTAATTAAGATCTTGCGTCTTGTTTGCTTGCAATCTGTGTGCAACAGTGGTCTAAAACAGAAGGTTCTGGACTACTACAAAAAAGAGATTCTCCAGGTTGGGCTATAACTTTTCAGTTTACTTGTTTATCTGAAGGTTACATTTTTATGATGCTTGTTGTCTTGGCCTAATGCATGAAAATGCTTTTAAGTGTTACTGAATTTTGCTGCTTTGTACTATGGAGTGGAGGGGAGTAGAATTTTGTACAACACAGTGTAATGTTTGTTGTTGAATACCTGGGCATAATATTAAAGGCAAATCTTTCATGTTGCAGACTTATGGCTATGAGCATATATTGACATTAAACAACTTGGAAAAGGCCGGACTCTTGAAATCACAGACAAGTGGTAGGAATAACTACCCAACAATCAGGAAAACCCTGCGCTTATGGATGGATGATGTTAATGAACAGGTAAGCATACATTTGAGCTTCCAGTTTAYGCAGGGGATACCACACCTACCAATAAGGCATTAGGTGCAGCAGGAAAACTGCTGTATTTGTGTTTGATTTTGCTTTGCAGCATGAAGGAGCACTCACCTGCTTCTTGCCTTCGATGTCTCTCTCACAGAATCCCAACGATATCTCCTACGTGTACAGCGGCTACGCGCCGCTGAGCGTGCGCCTGGCGCAGCTCCTGGCTCGCCCAGGCTGGCGGAGCATAGAAGARGTTCTAAAGATGCTGCCTGGTCCCCATTTTGAGGAGAGGCAGCAGCTGCCTACTGGCCTTCAGAAAAAACGTAAGTTTTGTTGTTTACGAGAGACATAAAATCTCTTTTAGGCTGGCATGAGGCAAAACGGTATCGGGGCTGGGTGAGCCTGGGCATCTACCTCATATGTTTGTTCCACCACTGTATTACATCTGGCCTGCTCTTGACAGATAGGTGTCTGACTTAAAACTGCCAGCCTTACTGTGACTTAGCCTACTGAGGAACAGAACTGCATGTGTTTAAAATGCATCTGTAAAACAGATCCCTATATGTTTAACTTCAGAGCACTAAAATAATTGCTAACTTTATGCTCAGATTTGCATAAGTAACATTACAAAGAAGGCCAACATTCGTCTCATAGTAGTAAGCCTGAGCAGAGAGACACACATCCTGGAAAGAAACTACAGATCTGGGAATGCAGCCTGCATGTCTGTGCCCCAAGCTGGTGCTCTGCTCACTAGGTTTCTTGTCTACTTCAGCTGCTATCTGTATTTTAGGACATTTTGAGTTTGACTTGACAGGCAAAGGATATGAAATGTTAGTATAAAACTAAAAGGCTGTAAATCTGTTTGGATACGCAGGTCAGCACGGTGAGAACCGAGTCACTCTGGTGTTCTTCCTGGGAGGYGTGACGTACGCAGAGATCGCAGCACTCAGATTTCTGTCTCAAATGGAAGATGGGGGCACAGAATATGTCATTGCCACCACAAAACTGATCAATGGAACAAGCTGGATCAAATCCCTCATGGAAAAACTGGAGCCTGCCCCTTTCTAGAGTCTGTGGCAAGAGACTAACACTAAGAGGCCGTGTGTGATACAGGTGTGTGGGTCTCTGGTCTTCTGGCATGGCTGCCTATGCATCAGAGAAGGAAGAGACTCTCCTGAGGCCAGGTTATGATGCAGTTACCCACATTCCGCTCTGCACTTTGGTGTTCCTGCTCTGTGTGGAACTTCCTGACAGACAAGCAGTGCTGAAATGCACTTTCAATGAAATAATAAAAAATAGGAGAAAGAGACATCACTGCCTGTGGTCTGAATACTCATCCCAGTGCTAGGGGAGGGAGCCTGGTCCCTCCATTAGACAGTTAGCATTTTTTTTTCTTCCTTTCAGGCTAGTTTTAATCTGGTAATGTGATTACTTTTTTTTGTTGCCTTCCTAAGAAGGCAGGAGGCAGGATGTCTTCTGCTTCTTATTGCATACTAATATTTCTAGTCTCTCCCATCTGGTAATTCTGTCAGTGCACTGAGATCTGCTGCTGTCAGATCTGTACTCAGATGTGCTTTGAAAGGCTGCCACTACGAGCCCCCTAAAAYGGGCTGATTTCCTTTTCTCTGGGTTCCCTCCATATTCTGTATTTACAGGGAGCTACAGTGGTTTCCTTTCTGGGCCATGCTTAGGCTCTGTGCAGAACTACTGTACTGTGTTTAGACCTACAAACATTCTTTGTTCTGGGTTTATTAATGCTGCTGTATGGGTGTTACCTGAGCCAGTAATTTTTGTGATGTCTTCTTTATGACTTAGACTTTGAGAGCTTGTAGCAATGCACATGACTCGCAATTACTTGTAAAAATGGCAAAGAACAAAGACATGAAAAAATGTGCTTTCTTTCCTCCAGCATCAGTACATCACTTTAAAGAAAATTTTAAAGCATAACTTTTTTTCCTGTATTTTTTTTCCTAGTACTTCCAATTTTTCATCATTATAGTGTTGCTAGACAGCTAATGGCTGAATTTCTGAAGCTTGGCTGAAGCATTCACAAGTTGTGGGGAGTAGTCCTTTTGGATGACAGCTCTGTGATTGCAGACTGAAAAACAGTGACTTTATATAATCAGAAATGGAGAAATTGAAATTGCTGCCTTAGCTGGTTGACGGAAGGAAAGGCCCTAGACAAAGACTCTGCGGTCAGCACTTAAACCCCCCAAAGGTTCTGCACAGTGGAGGGGGGGACAGGGACACACTTCTGCTCTCATCTTTCTCGTGAAAGATGAACTTCTGCTTCTCCAAGCTCCAGCATGTTCATGTGAGGTGCCAGCCAAGGGGCCAGGCCACTGCAGCTCAAGATCTTGGCAATAGATTGTGCAATGGAAAAATAGCTGCTGAAAAGAGGAAGCCATAACATTTTTCCTGCTTAGGTTCAGGCACACTCTGAGCACACAMAAAAAAAGAGCAATTATATGGTACTTAATTTACAATTACATTATGTGCAGCTTAAAAGTGAAACAGAAAGGATGAGCTGACAGGCTCCTTTTGGAGCCAGTTCTAGTTCCCTGTCAGAAATTCAGTGGTTATTAGGCACCGGCAGTACAGTTCCTTGCTCAGCCTGCACTGCAGCTGTATCAAGCTGTGTGTTATAGTTAGTTGCCTCCGGGGCACAAGGAAGTCCACTGTCCTGCACGCTCTTTGGTAAGAAGTTTCCTCTACCCCATGCAGCATCTGTTTAAACTGTCCCTATGCAGAGCAACTGCACTAGCTGCAAATAATAAAAACAACTCACTCAAACAAGGGAAATCCTGAGGCCTTTTACTGGCTGCTTACTTCAACAGTCTGTTGAAGAAGTGGCCTGTTTCTCCAGTGCCCCTGATACAACCACATGACTCCAGAAGGCAACTCCAGACTATGAATTACATCAGTGTGCTGACAGCCTGGTTAGTCACATGGGCCTTGCCCAGGTGGGAATCAGGCCAAAATCAGCAAGCTCATTGAAACAGCAAAGTGTCAGAAGCACCAGGCTTAAAAGACACTTTTCTTTTCCTTTTTTTAATGTTTTTCATCTTTTTTTTTTTTTTTTTTTTTTTAATAAGCAGTTGCAGAGCCCAAAATTATAAACTGGAATTTTCCATGGGTACGGTGGCTGGGCCTTTGGTGTTAAGCCAGTGAGTGCGAGGCAGATTCTAGCTGCAGAAGACTCAGCCTTGCTAAGTGCTGGGGAGCACAAAATCAGGGACTGATGCATAGGCCTGAGCTGCTGACCCCTGGCAGAGCCTCTGCTCCACTGCAGACCCTTTGCTCTGTCCACTGTCACTGTACTTACTTGTGCTCCTTCAAAGCAGCCACTGGGGACTCGGCTTCACATGCCCTTTCATTTATAAAGAGTTGAAATTAAAAAAGAAAATGACATTAAAACATTGTCTTTGCACACATCTGTGCTATTAGTTGCACTGCATAATGYATATGTCCATGATCCTTTCAAAGTTATTTGTTTTTCCAAGTTATTTGTAACTGTTTAAAAAAAAAAAAAAAAAAGAGGAGGGGAATTGAGTTCTGCTGGATCTGTCCCTTCCGAGAAACCTGTTGTCTAACTCCAGTTCACTTACTGTAAGAAAACAAAAACCTATGTGATCATTTTTAAAAGATCTTTATCTCTTCTTCCCTCTCCCCTCCAAATCCACATTCATGGAACACAACATTAATTATAGTTCATTCTGCCACTGAATGTACTATATTGGAAAATACCTTTRTAGGATATCTTGACTGATATCTAAATATCTTCACTGAAAAGAAAACCCCATATTTTTAATCATTTGAGGATGGCAAGCAGGCAAGCTTGCAGGCTTCTCTTAAAAATAACAAGTCATGATGCCATTTTTTTTCAGTTAGCTTAACTGAATTTAAATCAACATACTGCAACTTCAACAAGCAAACCATGCAAATTATGCAGGAAGCCAATGTGGCTTGTCCTGCTAAGCTTTATTTATATAGTTCCACTGTGAAAGCATGAAAGTTAGCTAGCAGTGTTTAAAGCGAAAGCTGAACTAGTTCTGGATCATAAATTAACTGATATGTGCAAAGGAAAAAAAAACAAAGGATACTCAGTGTAGTTCTTTCAGTCTATCATTACACAAAATGACCTCGGTTTAGCCTTGAGGGTCTTAGCACTACCATAATTTCCAGATTTTTTTTTTCAGAACTTTGAAAAATAATCAGAAGGAAAAAAATAGCACTGATGATTAGGCTACTTTGTGACTCAAACTTCTGATGTAAGAAAACTACAACACAGATGAAAAAGAAGAAACAAATAAATCAGTTCAAGAGCTTGCCTACTTTTTCCCTTGGCCTAGCAAATGTCTTAGCAATACTAAGGTCCAAACTTGTTGTGAGAACAGTTTATCGTGAATTCTTGGTAAACTTTAATTTCCCAGCAATTGCTGCATTGTTTTTGCACAGGCAGTAGCCTGCACCACTAGCAATCAAGCATCCTACAGATACACAAACAAGACAAAGTCTCTTCCTGGAACCACACAACAAAAACAATAAAATAAAGGCCATCCTGACGTTGATTGATTCTCTGGGGGAGCAATTACTACTTAACAGGCTTCCTGAGCAGCTTGATTATGTTCTGTTTCTGTCTAAGGCCTTGCTGACCATGCGGGTAATAATTTGATAACAAGAGAGTGTAATTAAATTAAGGGGCCATTTTCCAGATCATATTATCTTTGTAGGTAAGAGATTTGATTTGCAGTACATACAGTCTTGTCTCTCTTGGCTATCTGCGTTTGTCTGGTTTACAAGAAAAAAAAAAAAWACCCGATCGACCTCCACTTCAAAACACTTTCACTTTTCATATAACACTGCCAGAAAGCAGTTTGCTAAAAATAAACAGGTACCTTGTCTCCTCTGCCCCCACCTTCCTGCTGCAAAGGAACTGCATCTTTCGCTCTCTCCAGGAAGGCAGAGATCAGTTTTTGGGTGGGCAATGGCAAAGATGTGCAGGGAGCTGGTGAGTGTGTGGTAGGAAGACTGTATACACTACTCGTGCTCCTTGGAGAACAGGGCCTGACTAAATCCACATAGTTCCAGCTTGTAACCAACCTGCTGCTGATCTTGGGAGAGCCCTGGCTGCGGGTAAACATCCTCCTCCTCCTCAAGTGGCCTGTGGAAGCACCATTTCTCATGAGGTATCTGCTCAGCTCTCAGTTAACTGTAGGAAAAAAAAAAAAAAAAAGAAAGCATAAGATGACACAAAGCTTTGTCAGAGCAAAATAACGACATTCAAATAAATGCAGGTTTTGATGTGATAACAAGAGGAAAGACCTAGTGCTTCAAATCACAAAATACTATTGACAAAAGCGCTCTGGGGAAGGGGAGCTCTTTGGAGCACTCTGTACTGCTGTGCTGCACAGAGCAAGGGCGCTATGTCATATCATAATTGGTCCTGACCACACCTAGTGCATTAGCCCTAGTGCGGGCTGCAAATACAACCTCATTACTCCTCGCTCCCGGATTAGCAGATCAGAAGGGGATCAAACTACAGCAGAATCTGTTCAGAAGACAGAAGGAACAGATGCAGAATAAAACCAGCTAGAAAAGGAACTTTAACAAGTAGATTCCATCATCTACCTGGGTAAGTTATTTATTTCTATGTCAACATCTTTAGGTAACGATAAAATAAGTAAAGACTATAACTAGAAAATTTCACTGCTCTGAACAACTGGGAAGCTACAGCTGTTCTTAAAGCGCAAGAGCTTCTATAGCATATACATGTCCTTGAGCTTTGGGGAAAYGACTGAAGCTATTTTAAAAGACCAGATTACTTTTAATCAAAAGGTGAACTCTTTATGATAACGTCCCTTCAGAAATATATGAACTGGTAGAACGCGAACTCACATTACTTATCAAGTGGCTTTAGACTGTTTAGACGAGAAACAATCGTCATCCTGAATGTGGTTTAAAATCCCCTTAGGAGCTTGACCAAAAGTGCAGGCATGTTTCTGATCAGAATTAAAAATAACATGTAAATTGGGGAAACAGAATAATTTTTTTAGCCATGTCTTCACAGCTTGAAATCCAAAAAGCCAGTAACTTTTCAAAGAGTGTTCAGATGTTGCATTAAATTAATGAACAACTTTCACAGTTATACATAACTATGATTTTATAATACAAATAGAAATGATTTCTCAAACATCTTACCTTTCATCCCCCACTGAAAGATTATTTTTAACATGAGTTAGAAACCTTTGGCTGTGCAAACTTGTATTTAAGTTCCATTTTTCTTCAGTCTTAAACAAAAGGCTCAGTTTGTGCCAGTATCTCCATTAGATGCTATTATATCATTAAATATTAATGGTGGCTTCCTTAGAGGAATTGACTACTTTGATCAGCACATGCTGTTGGTAATGTACCAGAAGCAAATGCTCTAGATGTGCAGCTCCCTGGATGCACAGTAACCAAAACAGCAGAAAAAATGCTATAAAGCAGCTGGTGCTGGGGCCACTGGTCCTTACCTACGCATCGGTGTCCACTGCATGTGTGTCTATATTTTTATTTTCTTAGTTACCAGTTCTGACTTAGAGACTGTTATCAGATCCTGACCACGGCACAGCTTGGTAACCCTCAAGAGGGCCGGGAACAGGCAGCCCAACCTGACGTTTAAGTTTTAGTCATTAAAAACCCTTTTAGACAGCAGGGTGACCACGAGCCCTCCTGAAAACAGCCGCTTCTTAGATGAGATTCACACCCACAGCTCTGCAGTTCTTGCCCTGAAAGACTCATCCTGCCCCTTTGCTTTTCTCTCTTGCAGAGTGGGGAGACCCGGGCGCCGGCAGCCCCAGACACCCTACCTGCCTCGTGGTGCCGCATCAACCATGCCYGACTCCTTTGCCATCCACTTCCTCAAGGTGCTGAAGGAGCTCCTGGCCTTCGTGCTGTTCAGCTACACCGTGCTGGTCGGGGCGCTGCTGCTCGCCGGCTGGACGACTTACTTCTTGGTGCTTAAATGACAGCTCCTTTTCTGCCCCTGCAACCACAGACTGGCCCAGGTGCAAGAGAGCCCAGTGCGTGGCTTGCCCTGGGCATCTGCTCAGCACAGAGAATGGCAGTCCCTTTATCCTGCATCAACTCCACTAGCGTTTTCTCTTATTATGGCCTAAYCACAATCTTATTTTCTTATGTAAAAGAGAAAAAAGCTTAATAAATATATATATATGTCTATATGCATGTACCTCACTGATCTGCGTGACTCTTGCAGATTCATTTTTTCTCTTCCCTTGATATTTGCACCTGTTCTCTGTGAAATTTAAAAGYTTCCAAGCAGTTTCGTCCAGGGAATCTCACTCCCTGCATAGATGCCCCCAGAACGCAGCAGCCCGACAAGCACAGGGGAAGAACAGAAGGGATGTGACACTATTTGAGCGTAACCAACATCTCAAGTAAACAAGTCCTGCCTTGCCTAACTCTTGCTCATTAAGGGTGTGAATGAAGGCAGACACACAGATTTTACTTCTGCCTTAAAAATTATTTATCGCTGAAATAGACTTCTCAAATCAGCACAATCAGGGGTAAGGGTATTATGCATTTACAATGCATTATCTACTGTCTCTTTTCAGCTCCCTTGGGCATGCAGTGTTTTCAAATTAATGCTTAAAACGTGGAGATAGCTGAAAGATGAGACCTARATATAGCATTGTCCTGCTAAAACCAAACTGTGCTGAGGTAAATGCGTCTGAGAACAGCAGGAATTATTAATATACAGGAACAGAACAGACTTAACTGATCTGGACTCCACCARGGCCTTTACTGTGGAACCACACATAAAATGCTAGCTAATAAGCAGCTAGACCAAACTAAAGGAGTATTATATACCTTTAGAAACCAAGGTTGAAGCAAGCTGGAGGGAGGGAATGAAGTGCCTTAGTGTGAGATCCATTTCCACYGACGCCTTGGCCAATGGCACCAGACTGCTCTCTGCAACTCTGGCCGCTCAGATACCTGTGAGTGGGGCTACATAGAAGGAACTGGCTCAAACCGCAGCACAAAGAGCCAGGTTCTGAACTCAGAGCTCATTTCTGCTGCTCTCTTGGGCCTTGCACCTTCAAAAAGTGCGGCTACGAGAGAAGTGAGGACAATGCTGGGGAAACCTGGCCAACCTTTATGCGATGGAGGGTCCCAGAGGGCGGAAGAAGGGAAGGAAAAGGCGCTTTTGCCCTCCTAGCCGCGCTGTCCAGAGCGCGGTCAGCAGCCGCGGTCAGCGCAGCGGCCGTTACCCCAACGGCCGTTACCCCAACGGCCGCTACCCCAACGGCCGTTACCTCAAGGGCCGTTACCCCAACGGCCGCTCGCGCCGCTTCCCGCCCGCCCCACGCGCATGCGCCAAGGCAGCGAGCACGCGCGCTCCCCCCGCCCCCTCCCAGGCGCGTCACTTCCGGCGCGCCGCTGCCAGCGGCAAGATGGCGGCGGGCAGCCGCTGGCTCCGCGGCTGCTGCTGGCTCCTCAGGTAGGGCCGGCGGCGCCGGGAGCCCCGGCCGGGCGCGATCCGCGCGGGGCCTCGCACGAGACCTCGCACGAGCGGCCGCGCGCGCCCGCCTCGCTTGCGCGCAGGGAGCCGTGGCACCCGCCGCCGCGGCAACGCGCGCAGCGCGGAACAAGGGAAAACAGCCCGTTTTTTTTGTGAAAATACCGACCCGCACCGGAGTGCGGCCAGCACTGGGTGCTCGCTTTCCGCTGGGGACCGTCGCTGAGCGCGCAGGCACCCGCGCAACCTTGGCTGTCAATAAACCTCAGTGCAGAAGGCCCCAAGTGTCACCAAGTTACTGCTTACTCGCATGTACCGTTTCCAAGCATGGCTTTTTAGCCGGGTTTTCAAGGGAATTAAAATCGTGTTGGTACCAGAGAGGTCAGGATAATGCTCCTTTACACGTGCACAAGTTACTGCACTTGTTTTTCCTTGCAGTTATATTCAGGCATTGTAACAGGTTTCAAAACAAACTCATTCTCTGTAATGCGGCTGCATTACGGAGACCTGCTGGAGACCAGGACCTAGGTGCTCTGTTTTTCTTTAACACCTATTTCCCACCTCACACTGGTTATGTTTTTGCGTTTTCTTGCCTTTGCAGACACAGCTTCCCCGTGCTGAGCCGCAGTAGCAGACGCTGCCTCTCGGGCTGCAGTGGACGATGGCAGCAGCTCGTGGGAGCGGGGCTGGGAGCTGCCTTGTGCGCAGTCCCAGTCATAGAGGTAACGTGCGAGGAGGGACCGGCAGCTGCTCATTAGAAACACTTCAACATTCAAGCCACTTGTGCAGAATTTAGCAAGTCTGTGCAGCCTGCATAGGGCACGACAGTTACATTGTGGTCAAACATCTGTATTTCTGAGAAATGCAACTGTTCAGGAAGAAAAATGARGAGATAAATGCCCACCTTCAATAACATCTTGCAAAAAGATGCCTTCTCTTTCAGAGATAGGGAAGAATTTATTCTGTTTCCCAACCCYACTCATCATTAGTTTATCCAACTTCCTAATTAACAATGTTACTTTTTCCTGTTGTTAATTTTAACGTGTATAAGTAACATATCTATAGAAAAACTGAGTGTAAAGATGGTGCAAATTTCTTGTCTTTCAGAAGCAGAACTCCGTTTCTCTCAGCAACGATGCCTTGATTAAAAGAGCAGTTTCCCTAGTAACTGATAGTACTTCTACTCTCCTCTCTCAAACCACGTACGCGCTGATTGAAGCTTTGACAGAGTATACGAAGGTAAGCTGAGAGATTACACATTCTGCCAGCAAGTTAACACTGGAAATACTACGTTACAATACACTGTCTACCCCTATTGTATCATAATTTAAATGCAGKTTTTATGAATTGTAGTAACAGAGGCATCAAGGCTTAAAGGTTTGTTGCCCCTAGGCAACAGTGTGATAGGGCTCACTATTCTTCTACTGTATCAAATACAAAAGTTATTTTAAAAGTTACTTTTAACAGTTAGACTGTTGCTTTGAGTTTGAACTTCAGCCTGGAAGATTTATATCTCAGAACTGCTGCTAAAGAAACCTAGAGCAGTTGTCAGATCTGCTTGTACTGAGTAACTGGGATGAATCACCTTGGAGCCTGAGGTGTATTCCCAAAGACACTACTCAAGTTGTGATCACTGCTGTGATCTATTGCACATTTAYATATTGCTGCTGCCCAGTACAAGTGTGTTTGATTGCTCATTGAACTGCAAGGAGCTGCTGTAGCACAACTGGGAGCARGCTTGGCTTTCAGAGCAGGAATATTGTGGATTTTAAAAAGCCAGGAATGATGCTTACCCTTGGAGCATTAAATTTCTACAGTTTGAGTCACAGTGCATGTCTCTCTCCTTCCAAAACATTTCAAATTATTAGTAAAGGTAAGAGCAACGCACCTTTGGAATTAAAGATCTTGTTACCCACTGCAAATAAGAGGTGGGTTAGTCCTTATTTTCTATGCCCAATTAACCCTGAGTARTACGGTAACAACACCAGTGATTTATAGAAAGGCATATAATTGTGTCAAATTAATTCTTTGCAGGCRGTTTATACACTGGTGTCTCTCTACAAGCAATATGCAAATCTTCTTGGGAAGATGAATTCGGATGAGGTGGATGCAGTCTGGCAGGTGGTAATAGGAGCCAGAGTTGAGGTAAAGATTCACATCCCTCCTGTCATCAATTTGCCTGGTTTATACTGTCAGAAATCCCTCTTATCATTTGCTTACCTTTCCACAAAGGTGTTGTGTAGAAGAACATTTAGATACTCCTGTAAGCAGTTATACAGTACTTTGTTTTTACTCACAGGTGACGACAAAACAGCAGGAATATCTAAGGCTGGAGTCCAGCTGGATGACTGCGTTACGTCTTTCAGAGATGGCAGCAGAAGCTGCCTATCAAACAGGTAAGGCACAGTCAAAAGCACTAATGCAGTTCACTTACTAAGTCACAAGCAAAAATCGTGACAAAGTCACCAGTTAACCACAAAGCCCAGTTAACCTACAGCCTACCAGCCCTGGTYGAGTGCCTGGTTTTCAGAAGGGCCAGGAACTTGTGTCCTTTCACTGTCTTCAGGTCTCACGTCCTAGATGGTCCTAGAACTGCAAATGCTCTTTTGATTAAGGCTACCTATGCCAAGGCACAATTAAAGGAAGAGTTTTAAATGCCATTTTTAAATGCGCTGTTCAGTCACAGTTCTGGGAGTACAACTAAAGTGCCTGGGTCCAGCAGGTCTCACCAGCTGGATTCTCTCTAATTAAGAAGTGAAGCGATTTGCCTTTCAGGGAAGTACTAATTTGGGTCTCTCATGCCCTACACAACCTTTSACAAAACTGATAACTTTGAGAGCAATTATGGTCTGACCTGTGGCAAACAGCAAAGTTAATGTGGCTTCCTGAGAAACTGCTGAAGACAACAGTCTGCAGGAGTACAAGAGGACAAAAGTTTGCAGTTCAGCAATGCCAGAGATATTCCTCTTGTTGGGAGGCTCCAGGACAGGTCAAGGACAGAATGCGGATATGGTACGGTGACTGGCCTGGACTTAGCTCTCAAACCCACTAGCACCTGCTGATCATTCTGATCCAGCACTGGCTGAAACTTTGGCGAGAGCAGTTGTAGGGGCCAAAAATATCTCAGAGTAGTCAGATGGTTGTATCAGGTAAATGAACAGTAAACACATTCAGCATTCAGATAGCCCCAGAGTAACTGAAATGCTAAGCGTAGCGAGTGCTAATTATGGACAGTGCTGAGTGCTCCTCTAACCCAAGGTTTTTAAATGCCTCCTTTCCAGGTGCAGATCAAGCCTCAGTGACCGCCCGCAGCCACATTCAGCTCGTGAAATCCCAGGTGCAAGAAGTGAGGCAGCTGTCCCAGAAAGCAGAGACCAAGTTAGCTGAAGCTCAAACAGAAGAGCTCATAAAAGCTCAAGGAGATCAATCGTCACTGCCACAGTGCATTTTAGGAAACACAGAAGCAGGAGAYGACCCTTATCTTCGGGAAGATTGAGAAGAACTTGCAGGTCACCTCAGAGTAACTGAATGGTCCCAAACTTCAATGCTGGGCAGTGGGGAACATGTTGGAAGAAGCCTGTGATTCCATTTTTGTTTTCCCAAACAGGCTTGCTGTACAAGTCGAGTCAATTGCGAGTATCTGAAGAGCCCCGTTCTTGYTTGTAACCTATCATGTTTCTAGTTAATTCAGTTAAGTGCTTAACTATGCAAAGGTGAAAATGGCTATCGAGGATAGCTTGTTAGTAACTGCCTCTCTGCTGGGAGGAGCCTGCGAATGGTTTGATGTGTTTGTGAGAGCTCTCTAACTTGGAGACTAGTGAGATATCAGCCAAAGACATGTATTTAAAAGTTTGTTTTTAACTTGTGAAAAAAATTATGTCTGTTAGTAGATACCTTGAATAAACTGTGCAAATGTATCTCGTTATGAGTGTGCCCATCTGGATAGGAGATTAACTGCTGTTTCTATTTGTACTCCTTAAAAAGTTTGTAATGGGGCTTCATCTAAATACACTCTATTGCAATCAGAGGAGACATTTGCTGTAGAACTGAAAACATTATTGGGATTTACCTGACCTCTTCTTATTGAGGTTTTGCAGTTTAATATAGTAACCTCCTTCACACAAAAAAGTCATGCTTCTAATATATCTGCTTCCCCAGGAAGGAAAGGAAATTTGGTGTTAAAGGTACTGTGGTTGCAAACAAAGTAATTACAGCAACTGCCACAGGCTTGTAAGCAAAGCAGCAAGTAAAGTGAGTTTTACACATTTGAATTCTTTCCAGTTCACATTTCAAGAAAATAAACTTCATTTTCTCTTTTTGTAAGCCCAGTGTTTCRCTGCAAGCTTCAGAACCACAGGTGATTTGTTTTCATTTTCTAACTTGACAGCTTAATGACATTATAATATTGTGTAGACARTGTAAACTGAGGTTGTTTTGTAGAAAAGCATCCATTAGAATTTTAGCACTGTTTTTTTTTTAAGGCAGTCCCTATTCATCAGTTTTTGTAGGAAACATTTAAACATTTTTTTCAAAGCAAATTAACATTGCGATACATTACTAGGATATTTTTTTTCAGCTGTAATATGAACCTTTCTATCCTTACCTCATTTTTCCTGCCTTTTGAACTGGCCCAGCTCTACAGCACTGAACACTTACAGGTTAGAAATAGGTATTTTGTGAAGTTTGTAGCTATCCTCAAGCAAAAAGCAACAAAYTTCCCTTGCTTCTGCTGCTCATTGGATGTTTCTGTATTCCATGAGGATGGCAGAGTCTGGAACAGCAGCATGGAGGAATATACCGGAATCAGAGGGCCCCAAACCTGGCTTTGGGCTGGAGTGCTGGGAAAATCTTCCACCACGAGAGGACTATTTGCAGCAGCAGCAGAGCCTCCCCGTCGGAGCCGAGCACAGCCTCAGGTCAGGCTCAAACCACATCTGCTCCCGTGTGTTTGATGCTGCAGGGTAAGAAGTGGTGCCAAGCCGCTTACCCAGCTGTGCTCACACCCAGCTCCTGTTCCTGCGCGGAGCCACAGCCGCTCTTCAGAGGCGGCAGAGGCAGAGGTGCTGCTCGAGACAGAGCAGCATTGAGACGGGGCTTTGGGAACAGTCCATTTCGGTCCCTTTCAGAGCCTCCCCTCAATCCCCCACTATTTCACTGCATGCCCTTCTCTTACTACCTGGGATGCAGGCTGTGTCCACACAAAACTGACTTGCAGATGTGTGAGAAAATTATTTCATTCAAGTCGGAAAGGGAAGGAGGAGCACGGACGTCGCCGTCTCACCTCCAAAATGAGGAAGCGAAAGAGCCCCTCACCTTCATGAAGAAGTGGGTTGCTCATCGCTGATTAGCCAATGCACCTAAGGCCACAACAGCTATGAGCATCACCATCCTCTACACCACATTACCGAGTTTGCATTTGGAAACATCTAGTGGGACAGAAAAATGCTACCACGGCAGCTCACGTGGCCCCAGACCTGCTCTGTCCAGTCTCTTTAGAACAGGCAGCAGAGCCCAAAGAAGAGAAGTCACTAGGTTTTGCTGCCTGACCTCATGCCTCGCTTACAAATCCAGCACTGAATACATTTGAAATGACACAGACAGTTTCCCAGAGACAGCTAATTCCTACGCTAGCTGTCGTTAGACTGCAGTGATAATCAGTGAGGAGTAGCTTGCACGAAGACCACGCTGCAGATGGGCACGCAGAGGCTCACCCTTGGAAGGGCAATCTTTCCTTTCTGATAAACACCTACTCACATCTGGCACAAACAGCTCATGAGGGCTGCAGCTCCAACCACAAGACTGTGTGTCATGCAGCAGGGCCAAATTAGGACAACACCCGGTACCTTACAAAGCCAAAGCCACAAGTGAAGTTGCACCACTGTTTAACTTGTCAAACCTCTGGTTTAAAAAATAGTCTATCTCCACTCTTTAAGTGGAGATAAGCATTCCCAGACGCACATCAGGGGCATATCTGGAAGCTCCATCTCACATCTGAAGGGCAGACAGCAGCACCAGAAACAGGCTTTGAKTTCTGTGGTTAGTTCCCTTCTCTCAACCTCAATGCTGCCACAGTTCCCTGCTCACACGCAGCACCTCTGAGCTAGTGCTGGCCAGACCCTGAAKCTGAGGAGCTCCTCAGCAGCACGAACAAGCCTTGCCCTCACTTTCCATCGTTCCATTGTTCCTCAAACTCTCAGCCCTCCAGCCAGCTTTGCTGCTGCAGAGGAGGCTGCGACTCACAGCAAAAGCAGCACCAAGTTTCCGTTCCCACATAACCTTAATTCTCAGTAACATCAAGAACTCCTTGCAGACACCCAGGACCAGATTTTAGTTTCTCTGCTCCTGAGGACTCTGAGCATTCAGGGGAACAAGAATACTCCCATGCAACACTTTCAAAATTGTGTTTTATTTAAACCCAGTGTTACCAAGAGATAGAAACACCACCCAACATGGACCATGCAACACAGAAAGCTGCAGCCACTACAATTGTAACGAACACTGTGAGTATTCAAGACACACTTCTGCTCTCAAACCCAGCCCGAAAGTGCGTTTGTGCAGAAGTTTCCAGTGCAAGTACACATATAATAACCGTCTGTAAAATCCAAAGGGCTCATGCTGGAATCCAAGCCCTTGGATCTCTGTGTTAAGGCACTACATTCCAGAGACATTTTCCTCCATGCTATTCCCAGCTGCCCACAGGACCTGCCGGGTTTCTAACCCAGGGCAGTGGGATTGCATTGCAGCAGACCCTGCAGCAGGCACCAGTCTTTGCTGCTGCCTGGACTTCAGAAGGTTAAGGGAATTTCAAGGGCTGTCACACATTACCCAGCGCCAGCGCTCGTTCCTCGGGGGCCTGGATGGGTCCCCCTTGGTGGCAGCACCTGCTCCCATCACCCGTGACCAGGTAGTGGTGCCRGCTCCAGCCGTCAATGCAGACCCGGTACCGTGTGCGACCACATCTCAGAGCTACCGGTGCCATCCCGCATCCCAGGAGGACGCGACCACGTCGGTGACCTGCCAGAAAAGGGCTCATTGCAAACGCAACCCCCAGGGCTCACACAGTCTGTCAGTAACGGGCACGTTCCTACCCCAACGGGATTTTAGTTGAAGTGCCCCGTATTGGTGCCCGTCGGCACTCCCTTTCGGCCCCTTCTCTAGGGGCTCAGTACCGAGACCGCACATCTAATGCTCTCATCCTTGACCAGCGTCCACATGATCCACATCTCCGTGGGGTTCAGYTTGTGCACGATCATCAGCTCTTTGTACAGGCACGGATCGAAAGGATTGAAAGGTCGCTGGATCCCAAAAGTCTTAAAGCCAGCGTGGTTCTTCGGGGTCACGGCCATCTTTGCCAGGCACATCCCCACAAAGACATCATCGATCGGGAAGAGCTCCGTGTCCTCGGCYGCGCTCCGGAGGCGGCGCACGGTCTCTCTCGACATCACGTAGCCGCCCCCTCCGGCATAGAGAGGATAGTAGGGCCCTCTGTACATGGACTCCGGAATAAAGTACTTGACCCTGGTGTTTCTGATGGGCTGGGCCTTGGCGATCACGTCTCCAACAAAGAGGTCCTGCCGCGGGTCCAGCTCCCGGAGGAACTCCACGATGTTGTAAGTGTTGACGAAGACGTCGTCATCGCCCTTGAGCACGAAGCGGGCGTGCGCGCAGTCCTCGGCGAACCAGCGCAGGAAGTGCAGCTCCTTGAGGGTCAGGTTGAAGAAGTTGTCCACGAAATCCCACTGCAGGAGGTCGCCGAACTCCTGGCTCTCGTAGGCGAGCAGCCGGTGCAGGGGGTGCGCCCGCACCCGGGCCTCCGAGCGCCCCAGCAGGAACACGAGCYGCACGCGCCTGCCGCCGATGGAGACCTCCTTGCCCCAGGTGTTCCTGATGGCCACCCGCCGGTCTATGTTGATGGGGGACGACTTGATGGCCAGCAGGAGGAAGGTGTCCCCGCTGCACCTGGAGGGCTTCAGCAGCGTGGGGAATTGGCGGCAGTGCCTGTACGTTAGGAAGAGCCGGTGGAGCTCGGGCAGGGCCAGCGAGGCGTTGGCGAGCGCGGGGTTCGGCAAACACGGGCCGGGCTCCGCGCGCCCCGCGCCCGGGGGCTGCGGCCGCAGCTTCGCGGCTCCCGCCGCCACGTCCGCGCCTCGCCTCGCCAGGAAGAAGCAGGTGAGGAGCGCGGCCGAGAGCGCCGAGAGCGCCAGCGCCCGCCGGGACATCGCGGCCCCGCGCGGCGGTCCGGGCCCTGCGCCGGGAGGGAAACACGAGGGGCTCCTTCACTGCCCGGCCGCAGCCSCGCTCGGAGCCCCGGGGCGCGGGAAGGGGAAAGGGAAGGGGAAGAGAGAAGGACCCCCAGAGCCGCCACCAGCACCTACCGGGAGCCGCCACGCGCCGCCGCCGCCCGAGCGCGCGCCGGGACCGGCACCGCCCCGGCACCGCCCCGCCCCGGGGCGGCACCGGCACCGCCCGCTGCATTGCGCCCTGTGCACCGAGACCCGCACCCTGAGCGCTGCATTGCGCCCTGTGCACCGAGACCCGCACCCTGCACGCTTGCACCCTGTGCAACAAGCCTCACACCTTGTGCGCTTGCATTGCACCCTGTGCTTGCATTGCACACTATGGACCAAGCCCTGCACCCTGTACACCAAAACCTGCACCCTGCGTACTGCATTGCACCCTGCGCTCCAAGCCCTGCACCCTACACACTTGCATTGCACCCTGCACGCTTGCATTGCTCCCTGTGCACCAAGCCCTGCAGCCTGTGCACCAAGCCCCGCACCCTGCACGCTTGCATTGCACCCTGTGCACTGTGCACCAACCCCCCTGCACTGCACAGCGTTCCCTGCCCCCTGCACACAGGGCCACACTCCGAGCGAGGCTCCCTGTGCGTGGGGCCAAGGGCGCCGTGCACCGAGCCCTGCACCCCATAGACCAGCCCTGCACCCCGTGCAGCAGCAGCAGCAGCTCTGCGGCCRTTGTGTCTCTCCCAGCGTCGGGGATGCAGCCGGCGGCTGCGCCTGTGCTGAGCCAGCAGCCTCCACATCCCGCGGGGTTTATTCCACCATCCTCATCACCCGCACTGTGCAACATTCCCCGCACTCGCCAGCTGCGGGGCTCCGGCCACCGCGGGCCAGCGCAGCAGCTGCATCTGGAAGTGGACGGTCAGCGGCACCGTCGGCTCCCTCGGGCTCTCCTCYGGCTCTGGAGCCTCTTTGGGTTTCCCTTTTCCTGCAGAAAGAASTAAACAGGTCGCAGTGTTTGCAGAATAAATCCCCCTAAAGCCAGCCCTGGGCAGGAGGACGAGCCCACCACATTAGCACTGACTGCCAGGCCCTGAGGGAAAATCTGTTGTAGCGTGACATTGGGTAAGAAAGCCCCAAAGTGTCTTAATCAGGAAATAAGGCTCGGTGCAATTTTGTGTTCTCCTTGTTGTGCACTTTCCCTGGTATTTCTAGCAGAAGCAGCAAGATGCAGAAAAACCATCTGGAAAAACAAGTGTGGGACTGACGTGGGGGCACTTCCCATGCCAACCCTCAATGCCTGGACAGAGCGTGAGCTCCGAGATTGCAGCTCCTTGCGGGACCGTGGGGTTTCCCTGGATCCTGATTGCCCCGAGAGGCCTCGTTATTTGTGGGTTTTTGCTGACGAGGGGATGCAAATGGGCTGCTGGCAGCAGCAGGGACCTTCCCCTTGCRAAGTGCCAAGTGGGGTAACGTGATGCCAAACGAAACACGAGTTCCTGCCTAATCCCCCTCGGTGCTTCCCTCGGCTGCGGAGGGGATGGCAGCCGCTCCGTGCAGCTGATCCCAGCGAGCCCGGCTGCTGCGCGGCTTCTCCAGCACCTCCGTGCGGATGGAGCGCCCGCTGCAGCCGAGCAGCTCCAGGGAGCAGGCACGGGGTTAGCGTGAGCACGCTTGGTGGCCGCAGCCTCTTCCCTTCACAGCTTCCTCCTGCTCTGCCCTTTCCCCTTCCAATGTGCTGGCACGGCTGTTTTTGCAGGCAAAAACCCCTTCTTGCTGGGCAAACAACGGGCACGAGGCTGGGGAGGTCTGTGCTGTGCGGGGAGCCCGCGGCACCCGATGGGGATGGGGACCTGGGGACATCTCCATGTACCCCCTGCAGACTGCAGGGTGCAGTGATGCCCTCTGCAAATAGGACACGGGCCGGGCAGGGATGAGGGTCTCTGGGTCTGCTGCCTCCAGCGCCCACCCGCACGAGCAGCTGGCAGGGACCCTGGGGACCCGCAGCCACCCCGTGTTCCCCGGCTCGCTGTGCCCGGCCACCCCCGGCCCTGGGTCACCTTTGGCAGACAGGGTGATCAGGCTGGCCACACTTTCTCTCCCCTCTTTCAGCCTTTTGCTTCTGTCCTTGCCTTTTTTCCTGTCCTGTGGAGAGAGGCATTCCCAGTGCTAGTTTGGGATTTAACTGGCAGGGGGTAAAAATGAGGCGTGTGACAGTGGTCACTGTCTGGGGTCTGTCCCCAGCATTTGAGGGACATCCAGGAACAGGAGCGCAGTGGAGAGGAGAAGGGGGAGAAGGGCAAAGAGGAGGAGGAGAAGGAGAAGGAGGGTCCCCGGCCCTGGCAGACCTGCCTCTCCGCTCGGTACCTTCTCCTCCGGGCTCGGTGGCTGCGGCGGCTCCTCGGCCGGCGGGATCCCGAGGTCACACACAGTTGCCACCAGGCCCTCAGTGGTCAGCAGGGCCTCCAGGTTCACCCTTGCAGTGCCCAGGGTTCTCCGAATGGGAGGGTCGCTGCGGAGCTCGCAGGGCTTCTCCTTCTTCTTCCTCCCGGATCTCTCCTGGAGCATCAGGATGGGGACGAGCCTCAGCAGAGCGTTACGGATGGGAGATTCCCAGCCCGAAGCCCTCATCCCCAGCTGGGGCAGTGCATGAACATGGGTCCCACCAGCACCCTACTGTGGTGCCGGGCTGCAGCCCACGACCTGCCTTCCCCTTCGGAACGGCGCCTTCATCCGCATCGAGAGGCCAGGAGAGCACCTGCGGGAGAGGCACAGGGCGCTGCCGGTGCAGGGACATGGGGACAGGGGACACAGGGACCTGGTCCGCGTGGCTACTTGCCCCAGCTCCTCGGTCCTGCGCCCACCTTCTCCTCCACCACGGAGAGGACGGTGCCGGCCTCCAGGAAGGCCTTCAGCCYCTCCAGGTCCATGGTCGAGTGCTCCCGCTCGTAGCCACAGTCCATGGGGTCTGCCCAGGGCTTCCCGGGGGTGGCGAACACCTCTGCTGCTCGGAGGCATGTGCGGATGCCGCAGCATCCTGTTGGAGCCGTAAAGCCACCCAGGCCACCGGAATAGCGGGATTGTTCCCAATTCCCCCTTACTGGCGCGTGGCTCAGGCTCCTCTGCAGTGCCAGGCTCCTGGTTTTCCTCAGCATTCCTACTGTTGGGATCGCACGTGGCTGCCGTGGGATGCTGAGGACTTGCAGGCGCCTGGAGCAGGGAGGGATCCCCGGTTTGCAGGGGCCCAGGGCTCCTCGTGCGCAGCCCCGGCCGCCGGGCCAAGCACAAACCTCGGTGCCRCCCGCGTCCTCGCCGGCCCCTCCGCCTGCAAACTCGTAGGTCACGTAGTAGCTGCAGGCGACGACGGGGAAGTCGGCGCCGGGAACGCGGGGCTCGGGCAGCCCGCGCAGCGCCCCGACGCTCACGGCCACRCGCGCCGCCCACGGCAGCAGCTCTGCGGGGCGGGCGCCGCGTCACCCACGGCCACCCGTGTCCCCAGGGCTGTGGCAGGGCCCGGCCGCATGGGGTCACCCACCCGCCGTGCAAGCGGCCCCGGGCGCTGGCAGGGACGCGGTCCCAGCCCGAGGTGCCACCGCGTCCTGCCTGCCCTAAGCGGGACTTKGCTCTGCTAGTCGCCCCGGGAGGGAAAACGGGCTATGGAGAAAACCCGCTGCACAATTCAGGGTGAAAAGGGAGGTTTTTAGGTGACAATGGCCAAGCCGGGCGCTTGACAGCGGATACCTGACTCCCAGCCCATCAGGAGCTGCAGCATCTCCGTGCGGATGTGGGGAGGGATGTGTTTGGGAAAACGCAAGGAAGAAGCCAACCCTGTATCCGGAGCGATCCCGGAGGATTCGGATCCCCCACCCCTGCTCCCGTCCGCGCCGGGCGCCGTCTCACCGGGCCGCGCGGCCAGCCCGTGGCAGCGGTGCTTCTCGTCGGGCCCGATGCGCACGTTGTCCAGCGCGCCGAGCGCGGGCAGGCTGTCCACCACGAGCGCGCGGTAGGCGGGCGGCAGCGCCAGCGGGTTGCCCTGCAGCACCAGCACGCGCAGCGCCCGCAGGCCGCCCAGCCGCCGCAGCAGCCCCGGCAGCTCCGTGAGCCCGTTGAAGCTCAGGTCGAGGGAAACCAGGTGCGGCCTGGACRAGAACAGGCAGCAGTCAGGGCAGGCTGGGGATGTCTAGAGAAAAGACACTGCAAGTCCCCATGTTGGCCACCCCGAGGCTTCCCATCCCACAGCTCCAGCATCCTTAGCCACCCTCCAGCAGGCCCTTTCCCAGGGAGGGATTAGGGAAGGGTGGAACCAAAAGGGGTTCCTCCCTGCGCYGTTGCTCTCTCCCACCCCATGGGCACAGATGGGGACACCCAAGTGCTGGGACACCCCAAGGGCAGGAGCAGGGGAGGCAGTGGAGACCACGCGGGGCTGGCGCGGAGCCACATCCCTTCCCAAGGGCTGCAGTCCCTTACCGGGGCGTCCCGGCCACCCCGGGAGCGGTTACCAGAAGCGCGGGGTGAGGAAGGCGCCGTGCGAGGCTCCGCGCAGGCGGTTGTGGCCCAGCCCCAGGTGCAGCAGGCGCGGGGGCGGCCGCGCGCACAGGCCCCGCAGGTCGCGCACGCCGTTGCCGCACAGCTCCAGCACCTGCGGCCGCGGGCGCCCGTCGTCCGGCGCCCCGCGCGCCCCGCGCCGCCCGCTCCCTCCCGCCTCACCGTCAGCGTGCGGGGCAGGTTGGCCGAGGCCACGGCGCGGATGCGGTTGGCGCTCAGCACCAGCTCCTCGAGGTGCTCGAAGCGCAGCAGGCCCTCGTCCACCTCGTCCACCTGCAGAGAGGCGGCTCCACGCGCTGCCCGTCGCCGCGGCACGAGGGCCGCGCCGCGGGATGAAGGCCGCCGCGCTCACCCCCTGGTCCACGAGGCGCAGGGTGCGGAAGAAGAGGAAGACGGAGCGGCCGCGCGCCAGCCGGGGCGCCCGCACGGCCAGCAGCCGCAGGCGCTGCTCCTCGGCGCTGCAGCCCGGCGGCAGCGCCCAGGGCGAGCGCGGCGCGCGCAGCAGCTCCGTCCGCTCCTCCCGGCTCTCCTCCGAGGGGCCGGGATCCCCGCGGGCGCCCGGTGCGGCGCACGGGAACTCGTGCAGCCCCAGGAGCCGCAGGTGCTCCTGGAAGGCGGCCGAGACRCTGCGCCCGCGCGGCGCCGCCATCCGGCCCTCTCCGGCGGGAATTCTCCGGACGGATTAGTCGCGTCGCCGTCGCTAGGAGACGGCGGGATGCGAACGCTGGCRGCGGCTCTTGTGGGGACACGTGGCCCTGACCCTGTCCCACCAGCTCAGGCAGCACCGGCAGGGTGCAGAGTGCCCACCGAGCACCGGGATGTGGGATACCAGGGAAATGCCRAGAAATCCCAAGATACCAATACCAAGAAATGCCAAGAAACCAGCATTTAAGGCAGTAAACGGGTCTCTCTCTGGTAATTAGTTACAAAAACAGCAGAGTTCCTATGTGTGCATCACCTTGCAGACCCTGCTACAGCCACCTCAGGCCATTGGAAAAGGGACTTCATAGCGAAAAGTCCCTTCCCCTACGCTTGGAAAAACAGGGTGAGCAGCAGGAGCCTGTTCCTGCCTCGAGTCACCTGCAGGTCTCCGGGCTCTGAGGTTGCTTTTTCCAGCGAGGGATGTTGAGGCGAGAGCGACAAACGCCAGCGCCGCGGCGCTTGCAGGGGGAAGGCTGAACCTCCGCTCGCAGCGGCTTTTACGGGACGGATGCCCATCTGCTCCCTTATCAGCTGTGCGGCTTATCGCGGCGGCAAGAGAGGATGTGCAGAGCTCGCACGCGCCGAGGCTGCGGCGGGGGAGCTGCTGCCCTTTGGAAAACGGGGATAACGGATATTCCCCGTGCTGGATATGGGGAATGTCCAGCGCCTTCCAGCTCGTGCACCTTTCCCTTTGCAATGCGTGGTGGGCACCTTGCTTGCACTGCAGGGACTTTCCTTGAGGACCCTGCACACAGGAGCACCCCTGTTACCCCAAAATAATAATAATATAAAAAGCCTTTGCCAGAACCGTGCTTTTGTTTTCTTGTTTCTCTCCCTTCGACTACAGAGCTGTTGCTAGATATCTTAGGTTAAGATAATTCATTCTGTTCCTTTGTATTATTTCACGGCTAAGATGGAGGTTGAACTCTTCTCCAAAATAACTACTGATAGGACAGGAGGAACTGGCCTCAAGTTGCACCAGGGATAGGTTAGATATTAGGAAAAACTTCTACATTGAAGCCTTGGAACAGGCTGTCCAGGGAAGTGGTGGAGTCACCATCCCTGGCACTGCTCAAGGAACATTTAGACGAGGYGCTTGGGGACACGGTGTAGCAGGCAGCGTGGTGAAGGGTTTACAGGTGGACTCGATGATCTTGAAGGTCTTTTCCAACCTTAACGATACTTTGATTCTACGGGTTGTGCGAGAAGAACGTCAACTCCTCCCAAAGCTGCGGAGTTAGCGGGTGGGAGGATGAGAGCAACACGGTACGGGGGAAGCATCATCCTACAGCGAGCCTTGGGAACCAGCTCCGTCCTGGAGAAGGTGAGCGAGTCCCACGGGCTGCCCGGGGCTGCCCATGGCCACTCACTCATCCAGACACACACTGGGCATACACCGAGCCTCTAGTTTCTCTTAGTTTCCTTTTTTTTTTTTTTTTTTTTAAACATGCATGGGAAATAGAAGGAACTGATTATTTTGGCACCAAAATGTTGTCCCTGGAAAGATTTCTGGTGACTTTGCACACAAAGAGCCTTGGCTCTATCGCTGCCTTCCAGGTTTTTCTCTTACCACAGAGCTAGGAAGGCCCCGTAAGCGCCTCCTTTCCTTTGCTTTTTGTTATAACACACAGGTAGTTCCRCACGTCTTGTTCTAATCTCAGCTTCTTACCCACAGGTCCTGGGAATGATTTTCCACCCTATTTYGCTGTGCATGAGAACATCCAGCCCCAGTCACTGGAAGCAGACGACGGCTTCACGCCAGTTACCAGGGAAGGTGGCAGCGATGGGTGGCGAGAGCCGGATCCTCTCCACGGGGTTATGCCAAAGGGTTGCACTGAGAAGACAAAGTTTTATAGAGATCCAGGGAATTAATGCRTGTGATGACCTTCCATACAAGCCACGTGCTGCCTTTGCCAGCCTGGCAAGTCCCGCAGGAGCAGGTTGCTGGCGTCGTGCTCCGCTCTGTGCTTGCTCTGGAGGCCCCAGCAGATCATCAAAGACAGAGAAAAAGAGACAAAGGCAAGAGCTGCATTTTGGGCATCCCAGTGACTCGGATGGGATTGCGGAGTCAAGGATCCGGAACTCCTAACCAAAGGGGTGACGGGACACCACGTCTGTCAGTCTGAAACCGTATTCTAGATCACAATCAGCGCATACGCACTTGAAATTCTGATGTAATCTTCCAAAAAGAAAAAAACCCCAAAGTATCATCTGCCCAAAAGAAAAAAAAAAAAGAAAGAAAAAAACCATGGGGGAAGTCATTGACGCAGGACTCCTCTGTACTTAAATACAGCCCGGCTCTCCACATCCACAGCGCTCCAGCCACCTGAACACCAGCATCCCTCGAGCTTGCGGCCACCACTGCTGCTCTCCAGCCCCACCATGAAGCTCCAGACAGGTGGGTAGGCCTTGCTGCACGCTTCCTAACTCTGCAGCTTAAAGCTTATCCATTCAGGAATTCTGCACATAGGAAAATCCAGGGAGTTCTGCAGAATTGATGGAGAGTCTTGATTATTGACTGTATTAATTGCATTCCTTTTGTTTCTCCCTCTTCCATTTCATTGCAGAAATCAATGGGTTTACACTCGTCCTCATCTGTTCACTGCTTCCCTTGGTGTCTTTGGCCCCAACTGTCACTACAGAAGGCAAAATTACTACAGGGCAGAGGCATTTTACCACCAGAATAAAGATCTTGGCATCGGTGCTGGAAATGCAGGCAACGGCCTTGTTTAAGAACTTTGTAAGTGTACCGTGTTGTGTCTGTAGTGCTGGGGAGAACTCCAATGCACTGATATAAAATACTAGTCCATTGGAAAGGAAATACTATAAAAGCTCACCCTCTTGTATTGTGGCAGGCTTGAAGCGGGCAGCTTTTTGGGTGAATTTAGCCAAATTCTTGGAAAAATGAGGACAGTTGCCTTGATTTTGGTTGGATTCAGCACTAGGGTAGTCAGAAGAAACTCTGCTCAGTCCCTTGGGAGGATGCTCTACGCAGCAGTGCAGTTGTCTCGAGTTATACATGAAGGGCTGGCACGTATTATCAGAGCTAAAATCTCCAATCTGGTACCAAACAATTAATAAGCCTATGTTCTCCTTCCTTCATTTAGCCATCTTCATCCACATGCTGCTTTCAAAAATCAGAGGCAAATCAGGCTTTTCTCTTCCTTCCTTCTCTCTGCCAAGCACGCACRTTGAACCTCAGGCCAACCTCAGTTCTTTAAGAGCACACTGATAACACATCAGTGGAAAAGATTTCCCTTGAATTCATTGTTGAAATTAAAAACAGTTCTGCTGAAATTGTCAAAAATAGCTTCAGGTCAAGGCAGATCTCTTCCATGAGTAAATTTTACCCATATGGTAAAAAGAAGAAAAAAACTCAGTAAAGCTGAAAGCGATGCCAAACAGGCTCTCAAGACCGAAAGTGCTGATCAAAGTTACAGATAGATAGCGTGATACCTGCTTAATAAGAGGAGCATAGGTGTTAACATCAGTATTTAACAAGAAAAGGATATACACCAAACTTGAAAAATAGTGTGTGCTTTCCTAGATCCTCTCCTAGGAAGAGACCAGCAAGAGCGATGCAAATCCAAAGAGATTAACACAGCTCGTGTCTCCTCTCGCTCCCTGCAGAGCACGTGCAGCTCTTTAACAGAGCAAACCAGGTGCTGGCTGATGGCAAACTCCCCAGCCAGAGAAATGGYCCAGGCGATACCCGACTGCCCGGCCTTCGAACCCAACTGCTGCGCCTTCCACGTTTTCTTCAACGCTTTGAAAGCCCTCAGAGATGACATGGAGGAGATCTGCGACGGGATCATCACTCAGGCCGTGAACGCCACCCTGAACCAGCTGGAGGTGACTCTCAACGAGGGRGCCAAGGTCTACACCTGCCGGAGCGAGGACCTTCCCCAGGTGGCCCTCCATCAGAGGAAGATGAGAACAGCGGAGAAGAAGACCTACATCTGGTGGCTTTTGCACAAATACGACCAATTTACGCGAAACACAACAAAACTCTACTCTCTTTCAAGTAATATGTCAGGGTGAAAAAATAACTTTGAGATAAAATAGCTTTGGCTAAATGTGACCTACCAGTATTTATGTGATCTCTTTGAAGCAAGAAGCAATGTTGATGATGTACTTACTATTCTATACAACCTAACTATATGATTTAGTTTAATTTAATATTTAAAACATGAATGTCTTAAGTTATTGATTATATTTATTATAAACTATTTATATTCTTATTTGTAACAGGGTATAAAAGGATAAACTAAAGTAAGTCAGGCTGCTTTAAGTAAATGGTCATGATATAAATAAGTAAACAGGAAATCATGATTTCAGCAATTTGAACCTTATTTATATTTGCATCTTGTGGTCATTTTCTCTTTTTGCTAGCAAGTCTACTTTTTATTTATGAATTTATAAATCTATTTAAGCACCTATATAATTTACATATATTTATTCAGAATTTTATGTTTTATTTTTTTATGAGGGATGAATGCTATATTTCCTATTTAGTAAGTGAAAGTTTTTACTCATATTTTCTGCATCTTTGAAAAAAACCTGAGATCTAATTAAAATGACATGAAATAAATATTGGTGGATTGTCTTTACTCTGTTTCACTAAGGCACAGGCACCAGACCRAAAATGTTCATTAATGCTCCTGGAGGTGGTAACTTAGCATAGACATTCAAATCTTTCCTGCTTGTGCCATGCTACTGTGCCTTGAATCCAAAGAACCCTTCAGCCCTCAGTGAGCTTCGTGTGGCCGTGGTGAGCAGAGTTCAAAGGTGGTTTTCTGGGAGGGTTTTGCCCATGATCTCCTCTTAATCAGACAGCCACCTAYCAGTCCTGAAACCAATGCAAGCAGCACAAACATCCTGGCAGATGGGGCACCCTCACAGATTACTCCATTTTCCTGGGTCTAATAATTTTACCTGGTGGTATCC